CCCTCACCTCCCATTTCCTTAGGGAACCCAGGCGTCCCGGCTGCTTCCTCCCACTATTGATCAAGGACCGCAGGTTGTTGTGGGGGGACAGGGCTGGAAGCTGGAACCTGCCCCTCTTTGAGGATGGGGGCGCTGGGCGGGCAGGTTGGAATTAACTACTTCACTCCTGGGATGGAGAAATTGAGTCGCGGGCCCCCCGCCCCACCCTGTGTCCGCAGCCTCAGCAGCACAGGGTGCCCTCCTGCCCTACTTCCCCGCCCTGCTGGACCAGCTGCGCCCCCTGCTGCTGCCTGCCCGCCCTGACCTGCGCCCCGTCCAGGTTCAGGCTGTTGGTGAGTGACCTCTGACCCCCTGCACTCCCGCCCCTCCCAGCACCCCTGCAGGAAGTCTCCTGTGCCCCATCCCAGTGCAGGCTGGCAATTAGTGACTCTCAGCCTCTGCCTCTCCCTGTCCATCCAGGTTTAGGCTGTTGGGGGTCACCCCTGACCTCCATTGACAACACACCCCCCACCCTAGAAGTGCCCAAACAAACACAACCCCCGTCTCATCCAGGTGCAGGCTGTCTGTGAGTGATCCCTCACCTCTGACCCCTCATGACCTCCTTCTAGCTCCACAGAGCTTTTCTGCTGCAATTAGGGGCAGGTCATCAGTGAGTGAACCCTGACCCCTCTTCCATGACCCCCAACCCCATAGATTCTCTGCCCCATGCAGGTCCAGATCATTGGTGAGCAATTCCTGACCTTTACCCCCACCCCATGCCCTGTCTGCATGTGATGCCTGACCCCCATGACCCCTACCATCCCACAGAGACCCCCCAAGCCCCCCTGCTCCCCTGTAATGGCAAGCCCGTATGGGCTCCCCCCATGCCCCCACCTGGCTGTTGCCCACAGCAGCCCCTGAGTTAGCCAGGCAGGGGATGCCACCTGACCTCCCCCCTATCTCCACTGACTCTGCCACCCCCCTTCCCCACTGTAGAGACACTGGGGGCGCTGGTGCGGGCGCTGGGCCCGGCCGCCTTTGGGCCCCTGGCTGAGGAGACCTGCCAGCTGGCGCTGGGGCTGGCCCAGGCCCCCGATGACCCCGACTTGCGGCGCTGCGCGTGAGTGTCCCCTGCACCCCTGTGACCTCCCCCTTGCTCCCTCCACCCTGCCCCACTCCCGAAAAAACCCAGGAGCCCTCCTATCCAGCTGCCTCCATCTCCAGGACTCCCCCCCTCTCTGCCCTAGTCCCTGGGGACCCCCCCATAAACCCCATATCCTGTCTCACCTCCTGGGAACCCCCTGGATCCTTCTGCCTGCGCCCCCACCCCGGACCCTCCAGAGACTCCTTGACCTGCCGGCCCCTAAGGACCATCTGGGACACACCCTGCCCTCTCCTCCGCCCCCCTCCCACCCCCCGAGGAACCCAATAAGGGGTCCTGTTCCTACCCCATCCCCCCAGGATCTCTTTGTCCCTACCCTAGGGACCCCCTTGCAAGCTTTAGGGACCCCCAGGGAAGTCACCTGCTCCCTCCAGGATCCCTGCGCTGGCTCCTGATCTCCAGCCTGCGCAGATTGTCCCTCCTCTCTGACAGCTTTTGTCCTCCCCTCAGGTACAGTCTGCTGGGGGCACTGTCAGCTACACTGGGCGAGGGCCTGGCCCCCCACCTGCCCCAGGTTACCGCCCTGCTGCTGCGTGCCCTGCGCTCCACTGAGGGCCTTGTGGTGAGTGCAGTGCTGTGAGCTTCCCCCAGCAGTGCCCTCAGGGAGTGAGGGGCCAGGGACTGTAAGCTCCCACCAGTGCCCTTAGTGAGTTGGAAGTGGGGGTCATGGGTTGTGAGCTTCCCCCAGTGGTGGCCTGGGCTGAGGCGGGCAGGGCCTGAGGCTGGAGGTGGAGTATGTCATCTCTGCCCTGTCCTCCAGGTGCCGGCCGGGGACCAGGGCTCCTTCCTGCTTTTCGAGGAGGAGGAGGAAGAGGAGGAGGAGGCTGAGGTGGAGGGTGATGAAGGCCCCGAAGATGAGGACGAGGAGGAGGACGAGGAGCTTGTGGGGTCTGAAGGGCAGGGTGGGAGGTGGAGCTTGGGTCTTGCAGGGCAGAGCTGACAGGACAGGGATATTGGGAGCAGGGCCGGGGTTTCAGGGGTGCAGCTAAAGCTCCCCTGCCCCGCCCCCAGGCTGAACGTGAGCAGCGCCTATGTGGATGAGAAGGAGGATGCCTGCGCTGCCCTGGGAGACATCGCAGCCAATGCCAGGTGGGGGCGGGGCTGGGGCCTGAGGGGTGGGGCTTGGGTGGGTGTGTCTGGGGAGTGTGGCAAGGAGATTGGTGCCGGGCCTGGGGATGGAGGCAGGACTTGGGGGTGGGAGTTTTGGAGGGGGTATGGGGGGCTTGAGAGGGCAGGGCTTGTGGCTGGGGGGCGGGGTCACAAGCTGCCCCCTGTGTTGACGCATCCATGTGTCTATCCCAGTGCCTCCTTCCTGCCCTACCTGGATGCCTGCTTCCCTGAGGTCCTCGGGCTTCTGGAGGTACAAGGGAGCAGGATGGGGGGCAGTAGGGAGTGGGGCTTGACCTGGCCACACCCTCTGACCTCATTTGTTGTCACCCTTGCCCCCCAGTTTCCACACGTGAACGTGCGCAAGGCGGCCTGCGAGACCTTGGCCCAGGTGTGTGTCGCTCTGCATCAGCTCTGCAAGGGACAGGCCCCCACCCCGCCCCGCACCGGTGAGACAGGGCACTTCTGGGGGAAGCTTGCAGCCCTCCCCCCTGACCCCCCATACAGAGGGCACTGCTGAAGGAAGCTCACAGCTTGATGCCCCTCCCTCAGCGCGAGACCAGGTGCTGGCTGAGGCAGTGCCGGCGCTGGCCCGTGCCGCCCGGCAAGAGCGGGAGCGCAGCGGGGCCATGGCAGCACTGGAGGCGCTGGGTACGGTGCTGCGCAGCTGCCAGCAGGAGGCGCTGCGGGACCCTGGGCATTTGGCCAACATCTGCCCGCTCATCCGTCATGTCCTT